TGGGGTGCAGAGGATTCTGGAGAGTTGGTCGCCTCGGATGCCATTTTTTCTGCGATACGGGGGTAATCTCGATATCGGCACAGACATAGGCTATAATTTCCTAATTAGAAAGTCAGAAGAACCTCAGATATGACAAATTCAGTAAAAAATCGATGGGATTTGGTGAGAAAAATCAGTATTTTGGTGGTTTGGAGGGCTTCCGATACAAAAGTTGCAATTTTTTGAGGTTTTGGGGTGCCAAGACTGCACCAAATTTTGCATAACGTAAATTATTCCTTCTTCAACTGATATAAGAATAAAGTCCAAGAAATCAAGTCAGAATAAGCACTCACTGGACGGCTTATTGCAGACAGCATGTCAGCATGTAGTATAGGCTTGCTTAGTGCAGAACAAGACATAGTTTCCCTTTCTGTGCCTTTTTTGCACTTCTCATACGCTCGAGAATGTCTGTAATTAAGCACCGAGAGAACATGTCCATGTATCATTCATTATTCATCAAAAAGTTGGGTCAGGCCAGGCACCTCTGGGGGACCTGGCACTAGACCCGTTCGGGAAAATATAGTCCAGCGTCAATTAATTCAATCCACGGTTCTCTCTATGTCTGTTGCCTCTCCGTTCTATTGAGGTATGCTGTCTTCTATGTGCAGTGTGCTACTGAAGATACACTTTCTGCCTGTGTACTGTCAGAAGAGTCCAATGTTCGGTTTCAGAACATCAAAGAGCTTTGGGATAAAGACAGACACGGGATCTATTTTTGAGCTTCTTTGTACACTCGTACGCATAAATATGGATTAAAATCCTCCAGGAGACGTTTTTCCTGTTTCCTGTTTATTCGGCTGCTTCTATAGAAACAATTCAGTGGTTGACTGCCTGTTCCGCCCCCTATATATATACGTCTATTTCCGGCTGCCCTGGAGATGACTCTTCGCGTCATGACCCTTAGGCAGACATGGAATAATGACTCTTGAGTCGATGACTCCAACCTATGACTCGCTGAACAAGGTTTCCGTTTCCTTGGATTCGGCTCTGGAGCAGTTGGGTGTTAAATATAGAATACTTACCACGCATCTACAGTACTTCGTCATTCCTTCATTACGATATATCAATCACTCTTCCGACAATCATCTGTATACTACCGTATTCTTGCATCGAAGTCCTTATATTACGTACAATGCATCCATCAGCATCTCCTGTGTTGAAACTCCCCGTCGAGCTCATCCTGGCCATCCTCCTCGTCCTGCCCGACATCTCAACCCTGCAATCCATCGTCCTCGCGCACAGCTGGTTCTACCTCGTCTTTCGCGAAAACCGCGATGCCATCATAACGCATCTCCTGACCACGCTGGTTTCCGCGGAGCTGCTCCCGCAGGCCCTCGCCGTGCGGGAATCGTCTCGCGTCCAGTCCTGGACGGACGACAAGGTCGCGAGGGTTCTCGCGCGGTTCCGTGACGATCGTCGTATCGTCCGGCTTCTGGGGCTCAGCCTTGCGGATGCGCTCGCCATCGAGAGCCTGCATCGCTGCGTCTGTTCCTTCGTGGACAAGTTTGCGTCGGCGGCGTTGTCGGTGCACCCCTTTACGGAGCGTCCAGAGACCCCGTCTCCGCTGTCTGTGTCCGAATGGCGACATGTCGCGGGCGCCTTTTACCGAGCAGAGCTTTGTACGAACCTCCTTCGCCCGCGCGATGGGCAGGAATCCGTCCTGGGTGACGACAGCAAAGTGGCGTTTCCTTACAGCGGCGTCCCCGGCGTCAAGGACGTGTTGCTTCGGCATTTCCACATCTGGGAGATTGAGCAGCTCGGCTGTGTTGGCGAGTTTGTATATCGCGAGCTGGGAAGACGTATGTCTCTTCTCTTCTCTGTTAGTTGATGCATACCTGATGCTGATGACTACAGGTTCGGGCGGAGATTGTGGGATCTCCTGGGGCCGGTCTAACCCCGAACATACGGATATCGTTGTCTGGGAGAGCCAGAAACGTCAATTCGTTAGTATCACCTATTCGGATTTACATGTTTGTTCTCTTTGGCTGACCTGGATGTAGTTCTGGCGTGGCCTGCAGTTCTTGCACTCGCTGTTTGCTTCGGAGAGCGTCACCAAGCGCTGTGTGTTCTTGGCCACTAAGTTCCATTCGAGTCGATATTACCTACAGAATGCTGCATGGCACGCAGATAGTGAATGGGATAACTCTCCTCAGAACATATCTGACGACACCGACCACCGTGTGGAAGTCGTCTTTGGCGCTCGCCTGAACGAGGATTCCGGACACAGGGCCAGCGGAGGCATTTGCATGGGTGTCAGACCTCCTGCGACGAACGGACGTAGTCTGCAGTCTCACGCCTCTCAGTTTTCGTGAACGGGGCTACGTCATGTGGGATTACGCGCGGCTTTCTGCCTGGGGATTTTTTAAGGATCTGTGGAGATCGAGTGCGCAGGAGGATTTGGAATAAGCTGAGGAGGTGGATAGATTGTCGGAGTTTCTCGATTTGGGTTCATGTTGTACTGTACAGGGTATGTCACGGAGTTCTCAGTGAAGATGGTATATTGTACGAGGTTATCTTGATATATGTTGATTTGGCGGTTGGATACAAAATGCACTGCATTGTCTACCTTTGGAAAATCTCGAGTCATCTAACGAAAAGCAATAAATAAATGCACTGAAATAAGTAAATATAAAATATTTCTAGCATGAGATATACTACCTACGCAGAGTTAGACTCAGCGCACGGAAATATTCCATTGGAACACAGTGCGATAGGCAAGGTTGCCGTCAAGGGTAGTTCCGATATACCGACCTATATGCCGTCTAGGTTTTGATACATCAAGAATCAGAGCACCTGTCAACAACAGTGAAGTCGAGCTATTTTGACTGAACACCATCACTCGATATAGAAGAGAATACGCTGTTTAGAGTTAAAATCACCGGCCATTTGACATGATTCCATCATTATTTGTCTCAGGCAGGTGTTCGCTTCACACATCGCTAGAACTTGACTAACATGACAGACAGATTCTTTGTATATTATCACCGGGTATGGACATTAACGTACGGTCCGTTTCTGTTTGTCTTCACCGGCTGGGCCATCTGGATGCCCCTGTAATACCAGTCATCATTCTCAGTCATCATCCTAACAAGGTCTGACTCAAGGCAGGAGGATACAAATCCTCCAGATAATCGGTAAACGGAAGAAGGCCACGCAAACATTTACGAGTCCCAAAAAATTGTATAAAGGTGTCGAACCCTGTTGAGAATATGGCACAAACCAAGAACGATCAACAGAAAGTTCAATCTAGGGGTTACATGCCCCGTTACGGGGTCCCTGCAGAGGTCTTTATGATGATATTGGAATCATTAGAAAGAAAGCCCCTGGCCAAATGTCTCCGGGTAAGCAGACTTTGGTTCGAGGCCGGGATCCCAATCCTATGGAGGGAGCCGCCTTTTAGAGCGCTGGGCTATGTCAAGGGGGCACGCGAGGAGAAGTATCTCAGCCAAATAAAATCCATGGATGTCCATCATGTCGACGACACACTTCATCGAGCGTTGAACCGGTCGTTCACCTTCCCCGCCCTCCGCAGTGTCCTGGACAACACTGTGACAGCAGACCAGTTACGGACGTTTCTCCCAAAGCTCACATTTTTGCAGGATTTCGTTTACACGTCCTTCAATCCTCCTTCCGACACAAGGGTACTGATGGAGGACGATATTATGATGGAGGCAATCATCTCCTCTCTCCCTCGGCGGAACCTTCAAAGCCTAACGCTTGAACGCATGATTGAGAAGCATCACATCAACGGCATGCTGCCCTTTGAGTCACTCCGAGATCTTGATGTTCTTCTGACAGCGGACGCGGTCGAGCCTCTCCTGAAACTGATCACCACGCCCATGCTCACAAAACTGTGCCTACGCGTGGACAACGAAGGGGCCGATGTGCTGAAGTTGGTATCTCTCTTCACGGAACTGCGGTCCCTTGAGGTCGCTTTCGGCTATAAGGCCAAGCTTTCAGCAGACCAAATCATGTTGCTGGCCAAGCTCGTCAAACTGGAGACATTGCAAATCGATGCACGGCCCATAACACTTGCTTCTCGTGCAGAGGACCCCGAATTCCCAGGCTTTACCCATGAACAATTCGACCAGCTGCTGTCGAGCCTGGAACATCTGCGAGATCTCCACCTGCGTTTTGCGTGGTCGTGCGATATGGGTGCTATTCTGGAATCTGCCGCCAGGCACAACCCCCCTCTCGAATACCTGAACCTGGGCGATAAGCTGGACATAGACATGGCCTGGCTGAAGCTTCAGGAACAGCCTCTGTTTCCTCGTCTGACAGGAATGTTCAAACTCCGCCGCTTTGTGGATCGGAAGGCCAACCCAGAATGGGGCGATGAGTAAGTTCGAGATTTGAAAACACTTGCACCTGTCTGTCTCTGCCAACAGGTGACGGAAGTGCTGATTGTTGATAGCCATCCCGACATTGTCAAACTCGGCGAGCTCCTGTGCAAACATTTCCCGGAAGTGGTATTCCTTGAGCCACGGGCACCAGATAAGTTCTCGGCAGCCCTGAAAAAGGCATGGCAAGAAAGCCAGAAGAAGATTGAGGAAGAGTTCTCACCTCCTTCCTAGTCAGTGAAGCTCGAGGCCTAGCTAGGTGTAGTCATAGGCATGGATATGTATGAGTAGGCGGACTCTGGCTCTGATTATTTTTCCTCATTCTGGTACATGCATTGATTTCGGTGTGAGAGTATCTGAGATATAGTTAGATACAGCAAGTATATTGTTCCTTCAAACTATACTCACTTTGTATTTCTCGGAGGAAACAAGTGATTAAAGCGAGTAAAAGAGTAATTTTTGAACCGGGAAATTTGAAGAGAAAGAGAAGAAAAATTCCTTCAGGACGATCTACGACCGATTGGGAAGGAGCGAAAAGGATGGATCCTTCCGGCAATATTAATTGCTAAGCAGAATCTCTCAAGAAGAAGACAAGCTTCAAAATACCAAATAAACAATTGTTTGAGAAATATGTACAGTGCGTGACTACATAACCCAACGATCGCATGGCCTCCTTCAAGGACATGGACCAATTCTGCAGAATCCTCCTTAAGCTAAGGTCATTATATCCAGAGTGAGGTCCCTTTCAGAGCGATGCTTTAGGCCCGGGCTTGCGATAGAACTGCGTGAAGTCGTAGCGAAGAACATTCAATCCCTGAAATTCACCCTATTAACAAACTGCGAAACAAGAAAAACAGTAAATAACGGAGAATGTCTGACGTACCAGCGCCAACTCCTTCGCCAGCGCAGGATCCTTCTCAGCCTTGTGGCAGATTTGGAAATACGGGTCCGTCTCCCCGGCCTTGTCCGGATCCTGATCCCAGAGCCGGCGGAAGTTCTCTCTCGACATGGGATTGATGATTTCGAAATAGATCTTGCGGCGAATCTCGGCGTATTTGTCGAGGATCGAGTCGTCTGCCAGACCCTTGTGGATGCCCAGCAGACAGTCAAAGAGACTGCCCACGTCGGCAATTCCTCCGGTGAGACCAAGGCCGCCACTAAGGTAACACTGCTGTTAGTTCAAGAGCCACATCTAGTCCTAATCAATGGGATATACTGACAATGGATTGCAGACATGCGCAGCGTCCGCCACCAGCAGAAACCTGCCCTTGCGGAAACTGGGCGCACACCGCTGCTGCATTTTATATGGGCTGATATTGGTGATCTTATAGTCACCCGGCTCCAGGTTCCCGGGCAGAATCTCCTTATACCGCATCGGCTGCCGTTTCTTGTATTCCTCTGTCGTCAGACCTGGAACTTCGCTATAGGTGACTCGATAGAGGTGGTCGTCCCGGCCGATCCTGGCTACCATGTGCCAGTTCTTGGGATGGACGATATAGTTCGTATCCCAGTATCCATACTTCGTGAAATCGTGATATACCTATCTCAGACTCCGTCAGCCATCGCCACATCAATCCATACTTTCCTCTTCTCACATTTGTCGCCACGATAGCGGCATTCAACGTCTCTCCCTGGAAGCTGTTGGGCCCGAATAGGCACTTTCGAATCTGACTATTCGCTCCATCCGCGCCGACCACGTAGTCGCCCTCGATTTTCACCGGCCCCGATGCCGTCTGGACATGCACCCACGCCTTGGTGTTGTCCTGGCCGATGTCGACGACGCGATGGCCCCATTTGACCGTCGCTAACGGATACCGCTGCAGATGGGAGTAGAGGAGCTTGCCCAGACGATCCAGGGGCAATACCACCATGCGCTCTGGGTGATCCTCGGGCAGCACGTCGAAGCGCATTTTGGCGATAATACTGCCGTCCGCCTTCCGCCAGCAGAAGGTCGATGGCTTGAATCCCTTCTCGATCACGTCGTCGATGACGCCGGCGCGACGCAGCTCGTACACGGCGGGGGAGGCATAGTGCGCCGCGCGAGGCTGGTCATCCAGCTTGTCAGTCGCCTCGAGAAGTTCGACTTTGATCCCATTTTTCGCAAGCAGAATCGACAGCAGCAGTCCTGAGGGCCCGGCACCGACGACGATGACTTTGGACAAACCTGACCTAGCAGCAGCGGACGAGGAGGCCGCAGCCGCGTGTCCGTTCGTGTGCACGTTATTGCCAGCCATCCTAGCAATTCCGACGTCTTCTCGTAGCCTCGCTACGTCAGGCGCTCTACCCATACCTTTTTCTTACCATTATTTAAAGCCCCGTCATCCTCCCACACGGCTTGCCCAAGCCCCAGATTTAGTCAGCCTGTCTATTGTGGGGCTCCGCACCAGACAGGGGCAAGAAAGGCTCCAAGGGCAAGCTGCGAATGGCTGCAGCCATCGTGACTGGCTCAGAGCCTGCTGAGCTTGGAGCGATCCCACATCCCGCGATACGATAAGGGGCTCGTATTCTCACCTAAGACCGATAAGCTGTCAATCGGCGGTCAGGCTTTTCGTCGTTAGACCTGCTAACATCGTTAGTGGGGATATTCTCCGGAGAGAGAGCAGGGCAGGTGTCACTTATGCTCGGAATTACCCCTGACGAGCTTTGGTCCCATGGCAACGGTGCAATGCATGAATGTGGAGTTGCAGACACGAGTGCTGGTCATTGTGACACGACATCGAAACCAGGAACTTGGATCATTGGTCTGTACGAATGAAATAAAACGTTTCTCATCACTGATTGACTGATTGATTTTATCTGCATCCCAGACATGATTGTTATACAAGCATCTGGAGAAATGACAGTTGACACGATCCAAATGCGGGGAAGGCCCTAATCCAATTCGGTAATTAACCCAATTGGGAAAGAAGCGACTGCAAGCCCCATGCCAGACCAGGGACTGAACCGAGGATAAAATTGGATCAGTTCCCTTTTTTTTCATTGAAGGAATAAATCTATTCTACAGTATATGGCCATGGGCTATAATATATCAACAGATATTCCAGATTGTCTTTTTACCTCTCCTTGACCCATCGTCGAAGAAAGAGGCTCATGCTCATATCAACCAGACTAACACTCCCAGTAGCAATCCGTGTTTCGGTTCTGCAGCCCGTTTAAATCAGAATCAGCAACCACAAAGGTATGGAGAAAGATACGGCACTCACATTTGCATACAAATTCCAGCCCTGCACAGAATTCAGCGCCCACCCTCCCACACTACACCAAGGCAGCGTGCTCTAATTCTTAGGGTAGACGTCCCGCGAATACTCCCAGCTCGTGTCGCCCGCGCGGATCTTCACCCACCAGTTCAACCAGGACGTCTTTGGATCGTTCGTCTGCGTAGGAGGAGGAGGAGGAGGGGGAGGGGGAGGGGGGTGGGTTGCCCGCGCCCGAAGAGGAGGCAACGCAGCAGACCGGAGAAGAACCATCGCTTTTCTTCTTCTTTGTCGGGGGGCTCTCCTTGGAAAACTCCACCTGGACGTTGTACGGGAGCTTGGTGTCCGCCTTGGACACCGTCACTGTGTCCCCCCAGTTGATGTAGCTGAAGTTCTGTTGCTTCAGTAGGACGTTCTTCGCGTCGTGGATCGTGATGGAGCCTGCCAGGGGCTGGTTTGGTGCCCAGGAATATTCAAAGATGTGGATCGCGCATTTCCCTGGGTTGTACTCGGGGGCAGCTGAGGTCGTGGTCGGCGGAGGAGCGGTCGAGCTGGTGCTGGTCTGGGTTTCGAACGTTGTCTTCTCTGCTGTAGTGCTGGATGCACTGCTATTATATGATATCGGGCACGAGGAATTACCGCCGTCTCTCCTCCAGGGCCGTGTCACAAGCTGATTTGGATGCGCGTCCCAAAGAGCACGAGCCACGGGCAATTGCCCATCGGCAACCCAGACCTGCATGGCGGCTTGTTGAAACAGACAGTGACGGAGATGGTACGGCCCGTCGTAATATATCTTATACACCTCCTCCGGGTCATACTGGAAGAGAACCTTCCCTAGGGCCCACGAATAGCTCTGTAGATTGTTGGGGTCAGTGATTAAGGGATGCCAACGGCGAATTAAGTAATCGATCACTTGGATAGGAGACCCGGGGAGCAGTTGCTTGAGCTTGTTCTTGATCTGACTGATCTGCTCTGGGTATTGGAGTTGTCCTTGTTCGTAGTCTGCCGCCCATTTCCTGGGCGTGATAACGATCCCTTGGGGTTCGTATTCAGGGCGGAACCATTGCCCCAGATATTGTCCAAGTCCCGGGAAAGAGTATGGAGGCAGGTTAACGTTCAAGCCATTCTCTATCACGTCCAAGACATCCGTGTTGAATTGCTCCTGATCGAATACATACCGACCCTGGTCGTTTCTCTTCTCGAAGGATGGATCTTCCCAGAAATGGGCGAACCAAACCCCTTGCTGTGACATGACGATGATGGACGTGCAGCCCTGGAGGCCGACGATACCGAGATTTTTTCTAGTATTTGTCAGTGGGACAGCCAATGCTGATGCCGCGCCTCTTGCTACGCCGCCAGGTTAAATAATCACTCCCTCAGGGACAAGTTGAGCCTCTTCCAGCTGCGCGGATAGGAATGCCAGCAGGTTATTTTGATAATCGGGAGGTTCCGCCATTCTGCGCTTGTCGAGCAGAGACCGCTCAGTTATACCAGTAGTCTGCGCAGAATTCGCTGGTGGAAGGCCGTCGACCCCCGAGGAGTCTTTTGAACACCCCTGGCAGGAGGGTAGGGGACCGGGAGGAGGAGTCAGGTCGTCGGAGCATGTACTACAGCTTGCAGAGCACCTCTGTCTGGTTGAAGCAGCGCCACAGCCATCGACACTCTGGGTACCTGTAGGAGCAGGACAAGAGCCGGTTGATGAGCTCAATGAGGTCGAGGAAGTAGCTGCAGTCGTATCGTAACTGAACTCGACTGTGATGTATCTTGTGAGGTACTCTGGGCAGATTGAGTTGCTTCGTCTGTCGGACCGTCTCCATTCTTGGATTGATCACCGTTATGACTGGGATCATTGGGATTATTGTCGGAATCAGGAATATTCCCAACTAGCGAATCCAAGCGGGGTTGGACATCCTCGAGGGTAGAGCTGACGCTCTTCACAGCAGCTTGCACGGCGCTTGCTCCCGCATTCACAGCCCCTGAGATGGCCGATCCGATCGATCCCAGGTCGTTGGCGACGCAGCGGACGGTGTCGATAATCGCGCCGAGCAAACCCTTGCTACCACCGCAAGGATTGGAACTCGATCTACCAGATCCTCCACCAGATCCCCCGCCAGATCCACCCCCAAGGCTGGCTATGATGCCTGCTGCCATCGGCATGGCTCCTGCGATGCCGCCCAGGGCAGCAGATGCCGCTGAAGGCTGAGGATTATTCGCCCACGATTTGATCAGTGGGAGAATCCCTACCGCCTGGGCAGAGAATGCGCTGACAGTCGCCTGTGCCTGGCTGCCTGTTGGATCGATGGTGGTAGTCACTACAGAGAGCAGGGGCACGGGGCTGGTGATGGCGCCCCCGATAAACACCGGGACCAGCTTGGTGGCCTGGCCCTCCACGGACGTGACAGTGCTGATTATCGGGGCGAAGTTGATTGCGCCTGGTGCTGTAGTCATCGGACTGCTGGAACCTGTCTGCTCTGCTTGGGGAGTAGCAGTTAGGCCAGTTCCCAAGTTGCTGTTATAAGAAGCCAGTTGACCGGTGGGTGTGCTGGACGTGTATGCGGTTATTGTTTTGCTTAGCGTAACGCTGGCTGGACTGCTTGTGTCGTGTACTTGGTGGGGAGTAACCTTTGAAACGCTTTCCAAGGTTGTGTTATGAGAAGCAAGTTGACCAGTCGACGGGCTTGAAGAGCTGTATCCTGCCATTGTGTCGCCTGATGTCGTGCTGGGAGAGATTCGTCTGCTGGAGCCGGCAGGAGTAGTTGGACTGCTTGAACCTCCGTTGGCAGCAACCATTGAAGCTGTCTTGGTATATGAGACTGATCCGGCTGTAGGTGAACCTGAAGTCGTCTGCTTTGGGATTGGGCGACTTGGTATACCGGAATAGGAGACCTGTCCAGCTGGCGTCCTGCTGGGAGAGACCAGTTCACTTGTGTCTGGGCTGGAGACAGCGGTTCCTTTCATCTGGCCTGGTGTTCTGCTGGAAGGGACTGGTTGCGTCGCCGGGCTTGACGAATTGCGTCCGGTCGTCTTTGGCAATATTGCTGCCTTCGAAGAAGCCATCGACGAGGAGGGTGAGGCCAGGTTGTTTCCGATGCTGGCACTGTTCCATGAATAGGTTGGAGCTGACTTTGGCGTCCCGGATGGTTGCGCAGGAATGATAGTGTTTAGACTGTTCCATGAATTATATGAATTGTATGTTGAAGTCGAATCTCGATCGGGCGCAGGCGCATTTTGGCTTCCCTCCGTGGTTCTTGCAATTTCTGAGCTGTCCGGTGGAAAGGCCGAACTTGGAATTGGCATGACTATTGGCTCTGTTATCATGCAGGAAATGCTCCAGAGAGACTGCATTGGCATTGCATCTTGGGTGGCCTCTGTGCCTCGAGGAAGCACCGCAAAGATGACGCTGAGCCAGAAGACAGACACCAGACTGGACAGCATCTTCTGGTCTTTCTTTCTGCGAAGCCAACTGCAGAATAGCTATTGACCTCCATATGGATCTTGTTATATGGCGAGTGAGCAGACAATATTCTGTCCTACCGGGAAAGACAAGCCTATTTCATCTCTATTTATAGCATTAGAGATGACTTATCTAGGCGATGGATTAAATCCAACATCGAACCAAGTTTAATTCTCTTGTCCTTTGTAAGCAGTTGCGTTAGTGTTAGCTTATGTCTTGTGATCACCATAGAATATTGCCTTTAAATGAACCATATTGAGAGGTATTCGCAAAGGTCGAATTCCCGGAGAGATAGCTGGAACCATCTACCTAGAAGTAAAAGGTGAAGCAACCTCAGAAGTCCTTCTAGACCACGTTGATAAAGAAGCGGCACTACCTCTGCGTGGCGGAACAAAGCCAGGTCTGAGCCTGGAAATTCTATAAAAAGATTTCTTTCAACGCACTCTCTCAAGAGGCAATTATCAACCAATAAACGGAACAAACTAGCCAAATACTGGTACTCTCACTGTTTGTCACGAGTTTTGTCTCACATGAATTAGGACTCGTTCCCGACTGAGATGTCACTCCCAGAACACCTCCCTTCCTTTCAGTCAAGGACTATGCCGCGTAGCTGTTAGAATTTGTCCAAATAGACGATAGAGATGCTCTAGTTCGAAGACTATATACGACAGCTAGAAAAGATCAGAACTGCAGGAAGATAGGCTCAATATATCCAAAATCCTGGGGTCGTCCACCGTTCTTTGTCTCGGATACCTGTTGGCTTTGACCTAGGTTCGGCGCATCCAAAACACAAGGACACAAAAGCAACCCGGTTAAAACGGCTCCGGTTTCGTTACAGTAAAATAATGACGCTTCCTCTGGCTATCATCGCGAACAGTACGGAGTACCAGCAAACCAAGTCCATCAAATGCCTCTGCGTAGGTGGTAGTGGTGATGGCTTCATACCCGATCTAGCAGGCTAATGTGCATGTCACCATGCAGGTGTTGCAGCCCTAACTCTCTCAATGTAGGAAACCATATGGCAGTTGCAGAAAATGAAGCATAAGAAGCGCTCGAAAACAGTAATCTACCGACAATCATACCGCTTATCTCTTTCTCGAGTCTCCCTTCTATATATTTCTGACAAAATTATTATCTTCCATGGGCAGATTGTTTCTCTGCATTTCCTGTATTTTTCTCGTGTTAGTAGGAGCTATATTGTATAACATTTCCATATTCGTATCTGCTTTGAGATTGATGCTGGGTGACGCCTGTGTATGCCAACTCTCTACTTTTTATATTCCCGTTACATGACCTTCCTGGCTTCGAGGATGATACCTCATCTGCATTTTGGTCCAACATCTCTGTTACTTTAGATCTGATAAGTACCAGAATATCAAAAATCCATTTAATTGGCCATTCTATCGGCTATATTTCCCGAAGATCGATCTCGTACCTGAAAATCTCCAGATGGCCCCCTTAGATCCTGTTATTAACGGATGCAGCCAATGGCCGTGTTGGGTGTAGCAGGATTCCGTGATTTCTGTAACAAAACATGAAACAATCGGACCGGACTAAAACAATCCTTCAAGGATCGCTGATTGGTCTATTGGACCTAACAAAGTAGGCGCGCGGTGATGGGTTGCCGATTGGTGATATAATCCATCTTTTTCATGTTGGATTCAATAATTTAGTACTGCTATTGCATCATGCAATTAGAAGGAAGAAATGCGCCTGTGGTGCTGGAGGGGAAGCCACCTCTCACCAACGTTCACTGAACGTGGTCTAGGAATTGGATTTACTGAGTTTTTATTTGTTGGAGTTGGAGTTAATTTAAACTCCATGTTTGGGGGCTGGGATCAGAGTCTAGGAGTTAACTATATAAACACTGAGGCAGATTGCTATTGTATAGTGCTGGCTGTCAGTTTTAGTTGCAACTACGCAGTTTCACGACACTCCATCAATATACAACCACCACCATGAGGCTTCACTGGGTGAGCGCCGCTCTCGCATATACGTCGGTGGTGTCATCGACTGCTGTTCTACTGCCGCTGTACGTCTACCCTGATGACGGCGCATGGAACTCGGTATACAAGGCCATCACTGCCAATCCAAGCGTCCCATTCTATGTGGTGGTGAATCCAGATGACGGACCCGGTTCTTCAGGTAAATGAAATCCGACTCCTGTATCTACATATTTCTGGCTGTACGTGCTAAAGGACAGACAGACTTCCCGGACGAGAACTACATCGAGGGCATATCGACGCTGAACAGCTACAGCAACGTCCACGTCCTGGGCTATATTTCCACCGGCTACGCAGGCGTGCCGCTATCACAGATTACGCAGGAGATCGCCAAGTACGCCAACTGGGCCAACTACTCGCCGCAGAACATCTCCATCTTGGGGATCTTCTTCGACGAGGTAACGAGCGAGCCATCGAGTTCCAGTGACAGCTATGTTAAAGATGCGTCAGACGCGGTCCATGCCAACCTTCCCCACGCGGCAGAGGTATCGGTCGTGTTCAATACGGGCACCCTGGCCCCCGCGGAGTATTTCAACTATGCGACCTTTATCGTCGAGTTTGAGAGTTCGTACCAAGAGTACAATGCGCAGGGCACGCCGCAGTCCATACAGGGCCCGCAGCGATCCCAGAGTGCCATTTTGATCAACCAGACCCCGGCTGACGTGGATCTGGGTAGTCTTGTTCAAAAAGCCACCACGGATGGCATCGGCGCAGTCTATCTCGCGGAGGATTGCTGTTACAGCTCTCTGAGCTTGGTGAATAAGTTGGCATCCGCGATTGCAGAAATTTAAAGAGGACAGTTAAAGAGTACAGACCAAGTGCTGGTCGCTTGGTGTTGAGCAATTTTTCATTCGGTTTTGTCTTATCTCCTTCTCTTGCTTTTTTTCTGTATATAGTTCTATCTATGTCTACCGGTATGTAGACTTCCAATTAACCTGGGAACGTTTCCTCCACTTTCATCATATACAGCCCCTAGAAGTGGATCGACGAAGGGTCCTAATAGTAACTAACTCTGCAGATAGAAACTAGAGAAGGGTAAATATCAGTCGAAAGTAATTGACGTGAATGAAGAATTCCGAGATTCTAACCTTTGATTTTCTGGTAAAGATGACCAAGCAGAATAGAACGCAAAGACCACCGCTTCTTTGAGGTGACATCCTCCAACCTCCTGGTCAAATCTCCTAGTGGATGCTCCTGCGGCGGATTGGGCACCTTGGCCCGCCATTCCTCCTTTCCATCACGATAGATGACAAAGGTTGGCCACCAGGTCACCTCTGCCGTTTTCTGGATCTCTCGAGTCCGTTTACCTAGAACGACTGGTCAGTGGGTTTGTTAGGGGAAAGCGAAATAAAAGGATGGGAGAGAAAAGGGCTAATAATCAACGAAAGAGAGAGAACACTTTTCTTTGTAGTGTTTTTTTTTCTTTCTCTCTCTGTAGGTTTAAGACGACTCACCTTAAAAAATCGAACTTCCTCACCATACTGCTTCTTTGATAAATTCTCAAACAGAGGAGCAACCACCTTGTTATCAATTCAGTAGCGCAGAAACAAGTCAGCGAAGATAAACCCCGGAAATAATGCATAATTATTCAACACGATGTATGTACGCACTGCACATGGCCCACACTGCGGCGAGTAAAAGTCGATTACGACAACTCCTGGCTTCTGCAGTTCAGCCTCGTAGGCTGACAAGGAGTTGAGCTCTTGAACCATCTTTTCTTCTCGATAATGATAATAACTTTGCCTGTTAGAATGGAGCAAGGGGCGAATATCTTAGATCGGTAGATATACGGCATCTCCCGTCCTGTTTCTATCGATGAATTAATTGCGCCATGTTTCGTCCAATGACGCCATGCTAATAGTAATACTCCGTACGATCTTTCAAATTTTATTCCGGCGTCTGAACAAATTTCGGAATTTACCGCTGGTTTTATTATTTGCTCTTTTTTCGACGTTACCCTTCGGATTTGATAAAAATCGGTCAAACGTAAATTGAGCATTTCTATCCAGCCTATCATCTAAGGAACTGAAGATTAAGTATTAAACTAGCGCTTGCTAAGAGATTAAGTCCACTAGACGAGGTCTACAAAGACAAGTCAAGATCCTCAAGATACTTCATGACTTTCATGTAGACGATACATTACTATGAGCAGCTTCAAGAATGTGCTGGAGAGGTCTCACGTCCAATAAGCAAGAGTTAGAAACACGAATGATGACCTGAAAACCAGTCGAGCACTCTGATTGCAATTTTCACGAGACCACAAAACATCGGTTACTCCCTGTCAAATTGATTTTGGTCATCACAGTGTCTAGTAATACCGATATCCCATCCTTTTGTTTTTGGTCTCCACAACATGGTGAAGGAATTCCAAGGCCAGTGTACCGGTCGCCATTCCCGTCAGGATGAACTTTTGTCCACGTTCTGTAGACAAAAAATAGTCCACATTTTTCGCAATCACTTCGCCAACCACTTCGTATAGACCAGCACATTCTTCGTACATCCACAGTTCTTCGATAATGCTTGGGAAAGCATCAGACTTCCAGTTCTTTTGCACTCAAGCTCCAAATTCCTCTTTCGCCAATTTCTCAAGCGGTCCGACGTCGTACTTTTTTGCAACCGAATATACGCGAGCATCTAGAAGCGGATCCGGATCGCTTTCGCTGATGTCACGACCATTATCTCGCGCCAGTCGATAGTCTTTCTCGTAGAAATACGCCAGCATAACCTTGACAGCATTTGGATGGTCGTCAGGCATCTTAATCTCGCCTGTTTGGGCCTCCTGCAATTACGCATTTAGCAATAGTGCTCTCACGAAAGATAAATTGGAAATACGAACTTTGAATGCACCACGACACATCGCCGCAAAAACCTTGGACTGAGGACAGATGATCGCGCGATGTACCCGATGGATTTCTTCCCCGCAGTAAACTTTGAGGTCAGAGTAATCACCTGAATACCAGAGATGTCTCATAAACAGAGTATGTTCGCAGAGTGAAGTGGACATATTTGCGAAGGAAGCGTCTGGGGCTCGTTTTGTCAAGAAGAGATGGTCCTTCTTTATGAAATGATATGATTACGATCAATTTAAACTGAAGAGTAACCACTTGGCACTAGTCTAAGACAGCGCCGGTATGTTTCTCCAGGTACTAAGGGTGGTGTCTTGTGATGCAGATGCCGCAATCTGATGGTTCAGAATGAAGGCAGGAAGGGCATCTAAGGTCAACGAAAGAACTTTGAATTTCTGATACGGGAGAAGCTTCCAGTCATTCCAAGGTAGACCAGCACCAGCCCTCATAAATAGGACCTAGCCCTAGCCCTGAGCCCTGAATCAGGACACTGATAAACGAAATTCTTCTCATGTCCTCTAATTACCCTCCATTGCATTATATCTGGGCATTTAGTGGGTGAGCTAGTCCTGATCTTGTCGTCGTCCCAATGTTCAGACTCATGATAATTAAAGTTCTTTATAGCAAAGTCCCTGAAGCAGTATATCTGCAGCCCCATCTCAATGCTGTCAGTCTCATCATCTGTGATTGGGGTCCAGTAGCTGGCAAAGATACATTAAACCTTGACGTTCACATTAATGTTATTATTAATATTCTCTTACCAACGTCAATCCCTCCCCGAGAGAGGAAGCCATGTTTTCTTCCTCCAGATCAGGCGAATAAATCTTTGGAAATATAAAAGTAGACCACAGATGGACAAGGAAAAATTTCTAATGAGACATGCTTGCGATAATTGAGGGTCCCCAGAGCAATGTTGTTCTCCTAGGATAGCTCTACAAGTTAGCAATTAAATAGACCGGTCGAAAAGAACGTCGAAGCTATTTGCCTACCTAGTATTAAGAGAGATATTAAAATATTTTGGTATTTTACCAGCAGTCAGCTTAGACGACCTCCAATACATACCTATCACCAATTGCCTTAGCATCGACTCTTCTCCAAGTATAACGCTCAAATGTCAGTCAAGAACTACTGTACAATGCCATCAGAAGTATGGGAACTATGATCTTGTACAGCAGTTATCGACAGGAACCACCTTTCTGCAGTCTATCAATCGATGTGTATCTTCGCCACTAACTAGAACTTGTTGCCAGAGACCTTTTGAAACACTCAACCGCGGAACCGCCGAGGTTGTCATCCAGGACACTGAGATGATAAGACCATTTCCTTCACTTTCAAACCAATTATTCCTATGATTGCCATTTCCAATTAAACCAGCCTCTCCTCCAATACAGCTACTGTCTCTGATCAAGGCATCTATCTCTTTTAAATTTCAAGCTCGCTTGGTCTTCTGATCGATACGATAAAGAATCCTGAATTTTAAACAAACGAAAAAAGAACAAAAAAAGGCAATAAATCACACGTCAGGAAACTGTGCCAACGTTCACATATTATAGAAAATAAATAGTACATGGAAGATTAACAATTGTGAAAACTATCATGCTAGCACCAGTAACCATAGGATCGAGAATTAAATGGAGTCTCGTGACTGTCAGTTGTATCGTATTTTATTTTCTTTTCTACATACATCAGTTGAGATTTCACAAATTATCCTAAAAAGTATATTCTACATTCTCTAATTTATGTAAAGGAAATTATCTAAAATATTTCAATGATGTGCAACAAATGATAATTAATATTAAAGGCTAGTTAAATGGATGGTTGATGAGGCACATGTCTATTTTTAGCTCGCCCCATCAACAAACTCAATTCCGACGGACCGCAACGAACCTTGTCAGTCGATTAATTCAACACCGCTGCTGTGCTGCCGCCACCACCGCCATGACAGACCCATCCTCTGGCTCAAAAAATACCATGAATCACATCCTCAAGCCCGCCGGGGCAAAAACACCTCCTTCCTCGCGACTCCTGCGCGCTCTGTTCACCTCGCTAGCCGGCGAAGATTCCCGCCGGTGGACGCTGACGCGACACTTGCGGAGCGACAACCCAGCTGACCTGAATGGCGAGTTGAGGGGGATTGCGACGTTTCAGCCTTTGCCTGGCTCGCCTACTACAAGTACCACTGGTGGTGTTGGAGGCAGTTTCAAGGATCTTCTCTACAGGGAAGAGGGCGAGGTGCCGGGCACGGTGGTGCGGGGGATGGCGGGGCTGAGGTGGAGCAAGAAGTATATCTGGCGGTTGAACTGTAGCGATGATGTTGATGATGGTGATGCCGATGCGACGTCTGCTGGTGATCATACGAATCTGGACAGTGGGAATGATGGTCGCGCGGGGATCAGTGTTTGGTTCGTCAAGGTCGCGGCGTCGTCGTCGTCGGGGAAAGATGGTTCGCAGCAGCAGCAGCAGCAGCACGACGAGGCAGATTACTTGTTCCACGAGTTCGAGTTCGATGGCGAATCTGGTGCAGCAGATAATCTAAACCCAGAAAGTGAGGACGTCTTCGTCGCAGCGCCTACCCCTCCTGCAGCGCCCTCGTCAACGACGGCGTCCACGACGACCATCCTCACTGCCCGCGGCAACCACCTCTGCGTGAAGGACATGTATCGCACGGCGTACGCGTTTAGCATCCACCCGGAGACAGGCGAGGTGCTCAGCTGGGCGAGTCGGCATGTCGTGAAGGGGCCGAAGAAGAATCAGGAGATTGTGAATTGGTATCAGAGGGAGAGGGAGGGTTGAATATGCATAAATCCAGGAAGGAGGCTACTGTTCAACGCCAGAACACTTAACCTTAGGAGATTTCTAAGATCTATGACTCTCCGAGTGGGGACATTTCGAAAACGAATGACCGTCTGCTCTACCTACTCTGCCCATCAGATCGAGACACAGTGGACACATGCACCGGCTGGTGTCGGGTGAGTGCTACAATGCTCTTCAGAGTTTGCTCTTCACAGTGTGAAGACCTCGCTCGACTGGCTTGCAGAGGCTCGAGCCGAGAGGAGTCGTTCTCCTAGCAGCAACATGACGTTGGACGCCAGGAACCACTTATGAATAATGCCAGTTTCTTAGTCTGGCAAATGCCCGACGAACTAGATGAATGTCGGTGCATTGCCCGCCTGTCTACCCGCCTCGTTGGCTGACATTGCTTACAATGAATGGGATCGGATTACGAGTCATGGCCTCATCGTTTATAGAGATCATATACCCCCAGTCGTTCAAAGATATCATACTTTTACCTAGCTAGTCATACACATACCCATATACCCTCGTGAATCGTGCAAGCATCGCGTCTTAGCTATTACGCAGACAGATTTCCTGTCTACTACTACAAGGTGTAGAAGAAATCCGGTCTCTTGTCGCCCAGCTCCTCAATCTGCCTTGCGTCCAGCCCTTCGATCCACGAGTCCCGCTGGCCGAGCCGCCGCTTGCGGTTCTCGATCCGCAGCAGGATGTGCTGCAGGATGGACCCTCCGAGCAGGAACAGGGCCAGATACGCAAGGACGGTGCCATGGCCGGGGAAAAAGTTGGGCGCGTCCTGGCCGCGGTAGATGTTCGACGAGACGATGCCGTTCAGGTTGCCCCAGCCGATCATGATACCGAGGGAGACGCCACGCTTGTAGACTCCTGTTTTGCCAGATCAGTCAGTATATTATCCATCGATATGCAAAACTGAAATCAATCGACCCACCCTCCACGTTGTTACCCATCCAGGAAATCGTGTTCGCGATGCAAGGATAGATGCCTATCGCCCCCAGGAAGGTCCCTGCGTACCGCGTGCCGGCCGTCTTTGCACCGATCAGCATCGCAAAGCCCACGACGCCGATGGTCGACATGATGATGTTGCACAGGCCACGCATGCGCGTCCGATCGGCAATGTACCCGATCGTGACGGTCATCAAGGCGGCAGCAGCGTAGGGTGGCACGCTGAGGAGCTGTGCCTTGGTGGAAGTATATCCTGTGGCAGTCAGACGCGGTTCAGGTTTGGATTATATCAAGAGAACGACAGGAGAATACTCACCCTAAATAATGTTAGCCATATCAAGTAAGTAGATATAGATCACAGAACTTACCAGTTCATTGATGATAGTCGGGATGAAGAGCGAGAACGCGTACAGAGGCATGTCAGCCCCCATGTAGATAATCGCTCCCAGCCAGGTCTTCCAGTCCTTGACACTGGCCCAAAAGTAGGACATCTTCCACTCCTCGTGCTCCGCGCTGGCTTGCTTGTCCAGCGCCAACCGCCGGATGACGCGCTTCCGGTCCGCTTCGGAGAGGAACGTGGCATTGTCAGGGAAGTCGTACACCGTCCAGAACGAGATCACACCCAGCACTATCGTCGCAAGACCCTCGAGGATGAAAATCCAGGCCCATCCCGCCTTGCCGCCGATGCCGTTCATGTCGGAAATGGCTGCTGCGAGCAGACCACCGAATGATCCGGCCAGCGCCGCGGCGGAAAAGAAGATGGCCATCCGGATCCCAAACTCCGACCGCCTATACCAGCAGGACAGAAAGTAGCTAATCCCGGGGAACAGGCCAGCTTCGGCCAAGCCCAGGAACCAGCGTGCGGCCATGAGGCCGGAGAAATTATGCACAAGACCCATGGTGGTCATGCAGATGCCCTGCATAATCCTGTCTTAGCTATATGTCCCAGAATTGGAAAAAGAAAGGCTGTGTCGTACCCAGAGGATGATGATCGAGGGAATGAAGATACTCGGGCGCGTCCGCTTCAGCAGGACGTTTGTCAGCGGTTCGAAGACGGAATACGATATGAAGAAAATGGTCAGAGTATCATTGTATTGCGAGTTGGTCATCTTGAGGGCCTGCTGCAGGCCTTCGATTTTGGCATTGCCTATATTGGTGCGGTCCAGGAAGGCAGCCAGGTAGAGCAGCGACAGCCACGGGATCAGCCTGAGATCCAGCTTCCAAAGCAGCTGTCGATCCTGCAATTATTGAGCAATGAGCTCGCGACAGCGGATCCGAAGGACGTCTTGCGAAACGACTTACAATCTTGGCTCGTTCCTCCTCACTGAGGCCCTCGTCTGGGTCCTCTGCCAGCTCCGGGTTGAGCACGATCGGCTTGGGAGCGGCAACCTCCGCCTCAGACACCTTGCGATCATTGTCGGACAGGATACTAGTGGACTTCTCCATGGTGGTGGATGTCTTGGTCGCGCAGGGCAGGCAATGGAGCAAACACAGTCCCTGGCAGTGCCTGAGTGTGGGCAAAAAAAAGAGCCGAGAAGGCGCAGGAGAGCTTCTTAAATGCAGTGGCAGCTGCATGCACAATGAATCACTGCCAGTGCTCTACCCCAATGCCGCCCACGCGCAGAGCTACCACTCCCACGGGCGGAAACCGATTACTAATGGGGAATCTTCTCCGCTGCATCTCCGAATTCCGCATTGGCCAATCCCCGCTCCCCGTGGGGGATCAAAGCCTCCATGGATCGGCAGCTTCCAGTTGTCTTGCTTCGGCAGCGAATCGGCATTTGCACGCCGTCGCTTTTCCTTAGTATCCCCACATCGCTCTTCTCCAGCTCCAGTTTTTTATGGAGCTGGGTGCTCTTCGGGCTAAGGGAACCAACCTGCGACCGGTTCGCGGATTTGGAGGGTTGTTTGCTGCTGTCCTGCACATGGTGCGGTCTGGCCAAGACCTGTCAATTGAAAAGCACATGTTCTTCAACCGCGTGGCTGAGTGCGATGCTCAAAAAGGCAGCTGCATAGCTCCTTCTTGGCAGGGAACGTGCTAGCCACGAGGCCAGGGATTCTTTTTGTCTGGGATTGGATGGATAATGTCTGATCGCTCGCTGGTGAGGGGGAGGGGGAGGCTATGGAGACTGTGGAGTCGCGCCTGCAGATACAGAGTTAGTTCGGGGTTAGTGAATTCAGAAGAGTCAGAACAACGTCGTAGCTGTAGCCACCAGTGGGTGATGGATAATTGACTGCTGCAGACACAATCAGATTGCAGAAGTCTCACACAGCCAAAATTTCACTCCAAACTTGCAAGAAGGAAAAATGGAGAGGAATAGCAAGTCTGCAAGGATGCCTGAGGCAGAAGACATGGTGCTTGCATCAGGCACTAACCTGTATAGGTTAGTGCCTAATGTTAGGTTGTTAGCGTCTTGGCAAACACCGCTTAGAGAGCCAACTACTGACGTCCTTTCTTCCCTGCTCAGTGACAGCAATGCTTTCATAGCAGATTCTGCGGGTAATAATGGATATTCGCAATTCTGACAGATAAATTCTGACTGATGTTCCCTCCTCTCAATGTAATGCCCCTTTGATGCCTGTCTTACACCAGAATGGAGATGCCAACAAGTTCCCCTTCATTGCAGAGATCGTTTCTCGGCTAACACAGATGTCTTTGATTGATGCATGGATGGAGAATGTGTATGAATGATATTGATTGATTACCTGCTATTTTTAATGATCTATGTTCCTCTCTCCTATTTCCAAGATTTTTGTTCCTTACTGTCCTGTGGCCCGCCTGACTATCAGTGTCATGGGACTCGCTTTTACACTCTGTAAGTTACTTTTCCTATAGAAATAGAAACCATTCTGTCCTGTTTCTGTGCAAGTCTCCTTCTTTTCATCAGCTGCTGCTCTGCTAGCATTCATTGGCGTGTTCCATGGGTGTGTTTCATATCCATGGATCTCATCAGAGTCATCCTTAGACATCAGTGGTTGGCCAGCATACAGACCATCTCAGTTCAACAGTCTTATGGTTGCAAAGAGAATTGAACCATCTCCATATTTTCTTCCTCTATCTGTATCTCTCTCTTCTTTTCCCCATCCTTTTCTTCCCACCTCTACCTCTTTCAGTAACTGGATCCGTCAGCACCTTCCACCCATTGCCAGCAACTAATCTGCAACCTGCATCTCAGAACAAGCAATCAACTCTGGATGAATCTGTCACTCTGCTGTTACATTAGAAATCAGTCCTCTTTGCTTTCTTTAACTCATCCTCTCGTTTTATAGGGCAGTCAGGCTTAAGAAAAAAAAATCTGCTGCTGGCTATTTGATCACTTTGATATCATACTTGCTACACATACTCTCAGTCACAGAGCAAGACCTTATCGAGCTCCTGAATATTACTGGCTCAGTTTTATATCATTTATTCAGAATTGTGTCGTTCTGCTTAGTGCTGTCATGAACAATCTCATTTCTCAGACAATGGCCCTGCTGGATGTCTTCTCTTGCTTGACAGCAACTCTCTTTGTCCTTACTCTGATACTCCTCCTGAATCAAAAACTTCATACCTCCATTTGTTCTCACCCCCCTTACTGCTGTGCAGAGCATCATGCTCTTTTGGCTCTGTCGCCACCATGTGCTCCCCCAGGCGCCTTGCCTAATTGGGCCACCACCAACCAGCACTCCAGCAAGACGCGCCCTGACACCCAGCCACCACAACAAGCTTCCCCTGTGCCATCGATCTTTTCCGGATGGTATTCATCTCATCCTTTCAGACTGCTTCACAGAACTGTTCAGGAAGGAGACGAAAGTGCTCTACCTCCGCCAGATACGTCTCGAATCCAAAGCCTTCCCAGCCATTCGAGCGAAGGTTCGAACGTCTCACCCCCGACTTCCCCTTACAAGGCATCAAGAGTATGTATCTCGATTGTCTTTTCCGGCTTCATTCTCCGCATCATGCTCATTTCTGCAGAGTCCCCCGAAGACAATGGAATCTGTGAAAGTCAACGACGATACTGGCACCACCGCCCAGGAGGTGCAGTTGCTGAAGCAGCGGATCGAATCCCTGGAAAAGGTTATTCTCTCCCTGCAGGCAAACCAACGACTGCACGATCACAGAATCACGTCACTGGAGAAGCAGCGTGACGATAAATTCGCCTATGTCGCTGGCGTCGGTAGCAATCATGCGGGTCTCTCCTTCCGTCCTCAGGAACTTTCCGTCGCAGAGACTCGCAAGGTGAGACAGCTTGAGAAGGACACTCGATTTGCTGTCTAATTGACAACGTACAGGACCAGACTCCGTGCAAAGCTCAGAGTCAGGCTGCCACACAAGCTTCTGCGCTTCGCTCTTCGTCTATTCAGTCTGTCGACTCCATTCTTTTCGGACAGTCTGCCGATAACGCTTTAACCCCTCGCGGCACTGGACAGCAGTCTGCTGCCGTTCGCACGACTTCTTCTGGCAGTCTTCTTGATGATGAAAAGTATCATGGGCTTGACGCCCCTGTCCTCACCCCAACCCGTTCTGTACGGACTCCACAATCCTTCCCAGGCCTTTTTTTATCTAACGCGTGTTTAGCTTGCAAAACCGACCGTGAGCCGTGAAGACACTTCATCTACCCAAGACCTGCTCATCATCGATTCCCCTTCTGCCACCAAGAAGCTACCCGTTTGGGACGGTAAGATCCATTGGGCAATGGACCGCCTCTTCGACAACGAAATTGAGGAGTTGAAGGCGCTTACCAATCCGAGCAATGAGCTTCCAAACCACGGTCGGCTGGCAGATCAGTGGGTGTTCCAGTATGGCCTTCGCTACAAGCCGGAGCCCGATGAGTCGAACGTCTACCGCACGGTCAAGATCGAGGAGCTTCCTCTTGACGTGCGGATGGATCAAGTCCTGAGCCAGGTGTGCTGCGGAGACGTCTTCTCCGCGCAGCTGCTGAACACGAAGGAAATCACAGGCTACCACACCGCAATTGTGATTTTTCTGCAGCAACGTCAGGCCGAGAACTTTGCTCGCTATGCGGCAACGGAGGGCATCTTCATCAACGGCACCAGACTCAAGGTGACCGTCGTCAACACCCCGACCTACCCCATGTCTACGGAGCTCGAGACTCTCATCTGGCACGAGGGATATACCCGCTGCGTCGCCCTGTACAACTTCCGCGAGGAGCTCATGGACGTGCTCCAATTTGTCATCCAGCGATCGATCTGCGGCAACTACATCGAGTGCATCGAGGACGGCTGGAATGAGAACGAGATTTGCATCCGTTTCCACTCGATCAAGATTGCCGCCAAAGCGTATGATCTGCTTACGGCTCATCCGAGCTTTCTCGAATGTCGTATCGGCTTCGTCCCAGATCCGTGCACGCGCGCGCCAAAGTAAGCCGTCAGTTGGCAGAAATTATGGTATTCACAGATTCACGCTTTCAGCAGTTGCATGTGTGGAACGACGTGAGTGGACAACCTATGGCATTTAATTAAACTTCGGGAGACGTCCTTAGATGGAGATTTTCATCAGATGATGACCGGATGATGAGAAAATGATTCTTTTTTTCAATCTGCTATTGTTTCATTCCAATTTGTTTGTACTTTCAGTTTAGAGACTTCATGGGTAGTCTCACTCAATGCGAGATATTAGGCCATTCTATTATTTTCTCCTAGGGTTGACCTTGTCTAATTTCAGTTGGATGCTACTTAGCCTACGTCCCATCCCCTACCACAGCTCTCTATTCTTCTTGTCTTCCTCCTCTACTATCCCTGAATCGGACGTATAGAACGCCCTGTTGCCGATACAACAGCCACACTCGATGGGTCAGTGCAAAAGAGCCCTGCTATTGGTGCTGACACGGATCATGTGACCTATACTTCTTATGAGTCACGAATAATTTTTCGACAACAATTACAATGTCTAGATACAGTACAGTACAATAATATACGGCCCTTCAACGTTTATCTAGAGAATATATATTACAGCAGCAACCATGTCCACCCCCTTCGGCCGCCCAATGCGGGAGCACTTCCTGTTCGAGGAGGGCAATATCAACATCAACCACGGCTCCTTCGGCACCTATCCCAAGCCCGTGCTGGACGCGCTGCGTTCGTACCAGCTCCAAGGCGAGGCCAACCCGGACCGCTTCCTGCGGTATGAGGTTTCCGAGCTCATTGACCGGTCGAGAGAGCAGCTGGCCAAACTCCTGCACGTCGTGGACGTGGATGAGCTGGTCCTGGTGCAGAATGCCACCACGGGCGTGAACACGGTCCTGCGCAACCTGACCTATGCGCCGGGTGACAAGATCCTCTATCTCTCGACGGCCTACGGCGCCTGCGAGAAGACTGTCGACTACCTCACCGAGACCACCCCGGCGGAGGCGGTTCGGGTTGAGGTCGCGTACCCCATCAGCGACGACGAGCTGGTGGCGCGGGTTGAGAAGGTGCTTAAAGAGAATGCTCCTGTCAAGGTGGCCATGTTCGATACTGTGTCTAGTCTTCCCGGGGTGAGAATCCCCTTTGAGAGACTTGTTGCCGTCTGTCGCGCAGCGGGCGTGCTCAGTCTGATCGATGGCGCGCACGGCGTCGGCTGCATCCCGCTCGACCTGGGGAAGCTGGACGCCGATTTTTTCGTATCCAATTGCCACAAGTGAGCCGATCCACCCTCAGGGAAATAGATTTAACATGCTTATATATTTTCACTCATAGATGGCTGTATGTCCCCCGCGGCTGCGCCGTCCTGCACGTACCGAAGCGGAATCAGGACCTGATCCGGTCCAGCATGCCGACTTCGCACGGCTATCAGCCCCGCGAGCGACCTGGCAAAAAGAAGATCAGCAACCCACTGCCTCCCAGTACCAAGTCGGGATTTGTCCGCATGTTCGAGTTTATCGGCTCGATGGACTACGCGCCGTATCTGTGCGTGCCGGCAGCGTTGAAGTTCCGGCAGGAGGTCTGCGGAGGCGAGGAGGCGATCATGAGCTATTGCACGCAGGTCGCGCGGGATGGTTCTCGACGCGTGGCAGAGATCCTGGGCACGGAAGTGATGCGACACGACCAGCCGTGTCCTGTCGTGAATGTACGTCTGCCAATTGATCCTCCTGCAGGTGACGTGACGGCGGCAGCAGCGCAGGCGCGGATAGGCGCGGTAAACGCGTTTGTCGAAAAGATGATGCTGAGCGAGTACAAGACCTTCGTGCCTGCCTTCTTCCACAACGGACGTTTCTGGGTCCGCCTGTCGGGTCAGATCTATCTGACGGTGGATGACTTTGAGGAGGTGGGGAGACAGTTGCGCGATATTTGCAGTCGGGTCGGGCGAACTTCTCATCTGTAAGTGATTCTATCCGCGAGCGCAGATTAGATATGTCACTCGGGGAATGATGAACGATGCTAGGGCTGTACCAGTCAGTGATTTGCTTGCACATATCTATCTATCTAGACTATTGATCATTGGTTAGAACTGAGCTAGAAGATAAATGATTTGGTGGTGTGTCGTAATCCAGACACGGAAATTCGAGAAAGATGCTGTAGAGGCCATCGCAAGGGGTTGGAAGAAGGTAAAAATTAAAAAAAAAGGAAGGATAATGCTTATTATAAAATCAGTGGATCTATCTACATACATACACCAGAATATTTAAACAAAAAAAGAAAGAATGTTTTCATCATTTCTGATTTACCATCTCGTTGGATTAGATTGGCATATCTCCATTAGACATGATTTAAGTGGAGTTTTCCCAGACATGGTGAATGTTCATGTGAGCTAATAGTAACCAACTCCGATCGAAAACAGAAATATCCCCAAACCCAAAGGGAAAAAAAGGGAAGATCCTGAGAATCAGTCTATTTATTATGGTCACGCACATTCTTATATGAATTGTAGATAGGGTTTACTTTATACTGTTCCTACTTAGTCCTAGCATTGATAACGACAAGAATCCCACTGCTTCAAGTGATGAAGAAGCCGTGCAGTTCGTATTCCAGAAGTATTCTACGAATTTGTACAGTACATAATTCAGCTAAATGCTGAATTCCCAACCCCCCCCCCCCCCCCCCCCCCGCCCCCGGCAACGGGGAGGGGGAGCATAGAACTGTCCGTCAAACATCTTAGATACATCTACATCTACTTCACCTACGTAGTACAGCCATTCTTGTGCTCGTACTCGTGCTTGTTCTCATTTTCGTGTGGAACGGAGGAATTGGAAATGTTATGTGTGTTGCTATTATGTATCTAGTCGCAAGACAAGAAAAAAAAAAGGAAATTCTGATTGAATATGTATGATTGAGGTCAGTTTCCCAAAAGATTATACTACACTACATATGCACTAGTGCTATGCAAGAACTGCTGTCAAAAAAAAAAAAGTGGTTCTTCCTGTCCCAATAGAAACCGTGAATTTTCTTGAAAACGAGGCCTTTCGCAGTATGTATCAGGAGGCTATTGGGCTGAGCATCCTCAAATGGCTGGCTGTACAAGAAACGGCAGGATATCCTGGCCAGTTTCCTGCATTCCATCATGATTCCTGCGGCGGCGAGCAACGTCCCAAGTCAGGCACGGATCCGGCTCAAAGACAATAATAAAGATGGGCGGGTGCCGCGATGCAAGGAAGAAAGGATTGTTTCGTTATGTCAGGAAAGACGCAGGGAAATGCGCATCATCCTCAAGTGACTGTATTATCTATTTGTAAGAGGAGTCCGATCTGTAATTTCCTTATATATCTCTCAATAGTGTCAAATTGAGTTGCATCGTAGCTGTACGATTTCGTGGTATATAGTCTGTTATTTTTATATTCTTGCTGTTCCTGAACCATATTGTACTTTCTTCTATTATTTTCCTCTCTTACAAGCCTTACATGTCTCGCTTAGCCTATATTCGAAGGACATTTTCACCCCTATGCCCCCTAGTTTAAGATACATATATGTAGTCTACTTCTTAGGCGGAGTTTGCACACATATTTCTCTGGCTTCATAGCCATATTCCTGGATGATATTATTTTTTCCCATAAATCCCGCAGTATCCCTTGCCAATAGGCATGTAGTACGTTTACCATAATTTTTGCAAAAGCGCACGACAGTGGACTTGACAATTTTTATAGGTGATTTTCTTCTATTATTTACTTTCTTTAGGGACTGCTCTAATAGACCCCATTCAGAACTCAGTCCTCTGACCAGTCCTGAAAGACTATGCAGGTAATGGCAAGCCATTTATTTCAAAGGATGAAATCCTTCAAGTCTTTACCGATTCTATCCTTTGTTCCATCCTGGAAACGTACAATTTCCCGTCAAAGGACATGACCAAACAAGATCGCTTTGTCTGAACAATGGACTTGGCGACAATCCTACAGAACAATCGTATTGTCAGCTTCTGATGCGGAGATACTCGTTCATAATGACTTTATGAGCGGTTGTCGCCATCTCGTTCGACGATTGAGGAGGCATATACCCTCTGTATCTAGGACGAAGAAGACAAAGTCTATCTGTCGTCGACGTCTATATAATCTCTGACTTCGCACGAAAGTAAATGCTTCTTTCCTTTCCTCTTCAGAGGATCAGTCAGCAGTCTGCTCTCACGATCGTCTTTCCGATCTGATCACCAGGCAGACAGGACAATCCTCAAGGCCAGTGGCCAGTTCCAGTCGAATCCAACTTGGAGACTTGCTAACACGTCTTGCAAGGCCATTCGTACAGAATCGACAAGATCAACATAGCAAGATGGGAAACCTTCTGTCATCCTGCTTCGAGAAGAAGAAGGAACGCAGAATCGAGGTATATGACCCCCACCCCTTGAATGACAACGTCGCGTGTGGCTTTTCTGACCTCCCTACCGAGATCGTCCTGGAGATTGCGGAGTACCTCAATCCTATGTCCAAGCTCTGCTTGGCGTTGACATGTAAGTCTCTACTGAGGATCCTGGATCCAGATAAGTCCCTGCAACGCTCACCCCGGTTTCGACTCCAGACGGGAGAAATGGCCGCGCCGACCCTTAATGGGATCTTCGACCTGGAACGCTGGCTGTTGATGCGGCGGCTGGAGGACTCCCGCTGGCGCTGCTGTCCACGCTGTCTCAAACTTCATCCTGTCCATGACTTCTCCGAGACTGATCTAGCGATCAAGGCCGAAGAACGGAACTGCAAGTTCGGCCCCATGGCGGGAACAGTCTTCGTCTGCCCATGCAAGCAGATCACTTTTCGGGACAAACTGCGACTCATCGATCAGCTCAAGCAGAACTCGAATCCACCTGCACAATTGCAGAACGGTCAGAGCTCCTCCTGCTGGCATCAATGTACAACCATGTCCCAGAACCATTATCATCGGTTCCCACAAGTCCAGCTGACCATCAACCCGGTGTTGGAGAACGGGGACAACTTGGTCCTGGAAGTGGATTACCATCTCATGGGGCTCTACTTCCCACAGGACCTGGCATTCATGGGACTGTTACTGTGTCCGCACCGCGCCATTGATTGCCACCTGCGCGATCTTGTCGATATCGACCGGGGTGCCCACTGGAGCGAGGGAATCGTGAATCCGGAGGACCCGAAATGGATCACCTGCAAGTGGTGCCACACGACCATGACAGACGCCTTCGTCTGCACGAATCAGCACAATGATTACAACGATCCTCACCATCTGTGCATCACGATTCGGGCCCGCAGACCGCTTGGTCGCGCTGGCAGCTGCGCCGACGAAGTCTGGTATCACCAGACAGACCTAGCGAAGCATCGACTCTTCTTCAACAGTGTAAACGGTGCACGCGCACGCGATCGTGCCCTCTATCTCGAAAGACGACCGGACAGGAGCTGGGTTCGACCTGGCGGGACCAGAGTGTGACGGAGCTCAAGATGACTGCGCGGTTGCAAATCCAATTTCGGCAGGTGAGTGAACATGTTGAAGAGGTTAGTGATGGTGAATCAGATTGATGAATGAGTATGTCGTGAAGTAAAGGGAAATTGTCTTGACGAGGAGGAAACGAACAGGTGAAGAGGGCTAGACTGAAGAAATTTTGATGGTGAAGGAGTCAACGGAGTTAATCACTTGATGAGAAACAGAATGAGAATGAGAATGATTTGGACAAATTCGCAGAGAGGGGGGTTACAGACCATATATGACATTAAATCGAGTAGCACAGACACAGATGAGACAGTTTCGACAATTCGAGGTACAAGGAATCCACCGTTGTATTATAGGCAATAAATGCTTACTTGAATACCAGTGGTCAAGGTCCCCCAAGAGTATTCGCTTGCACCGTGTCAATATTAATACAATCTCTGGGAACAGGTACACCCTTGTCCGTCGAGGCTCTGCCCACAGAAATGGGGAGAGAATATTGGAAGCCGTCGTCTCACGCACTTAGTGAGGAGGGAAGGTCTCCAGACCCCCCTTGACCTTACAGAAAGAAATAAGATATCCTCCATTGCCATTGTCACAGAGAGGATGGGAACGGCTCCGTCTGTCTTAACAGATCTTCCGGTGCAAAGGTAGTTGTCGAGCTTCTCGTTTCCCGGTTTCTCCCACGGTCATTCACGTGCACCATCTTGTCTCGTAACTTTCGTCCATCTGCCGACTCGGATGAAAGAGAAGCAGACTTATCTTCAGTATGATGGATTTACGGCTGCGGCGTGCTCATGTTGAGAGAGAGAGAGATTTGGCGCGACAGGAATGCTTTGCTGTGCTGAGCACGCGGAGGAAAGCCTTCTTCCTAGAGATTGAAACAATAGACCCGATAATGATGTAAGCTATGGAACGCTTTATCGAGAAGAGTGCTTACTATAAAGTCTCCAGGTATTCCGTATTTGACAATATAGAATACATTCGAGTGGGAAAAGAAGACTAGAAAAAAAAAAGAATCTTTTTTACGCAGTCTTACCAGCTGAGGCAAGAAGCCTTCGAGCCCAGCATAACGTGTCCACTAGGATAGAAACAAACGGATTCTCTCGTGCCGTTCATCCAACACGAAGTGGAACAAACCATCAATGAATAAACAATGACATGAATAAAGAGAAAAAATCAGTAGACGCCTGAACCACCTACAGAAAGCCGACTTGCAACAACAACAACATCAACATCAATACAAGAAAGTATGTTCACAGCCTACAAAATGAAGCTTCGCCTCTTCCGGTTGTATGCCCGCTGGTCCTTCAGCCACTGCCGATAGCCCTGCACGCTGCCAATCTTCTCACCGTAGTAATCCGGCACCGGGTTGGCAATGGAGTTGGAAGACGGGTCCACGCGGAACCGCTTTATCCGGTCGTAGAACTCTTTCTCTTTCTGTTGTCCAACATCCGGGGTCAGTGAATATATTCCAGCAGAAGACGATAAATATAAAACAATGTAGGTGCCTACTCACCACCGCAACTCCACTCCGATATCGCCTGTAGATCAACCCCCAGATCGCATTCCCCAGAAACGGACCGGCCAGCCATCCGACAGCACCACAAGCAGCCGTCGCCAGTCCCAGCACGACGAACGGATCCAGTCCCATCACCTGGGCCCCGAGACTCTCTAGATCTTGCGTGGACAGAATCTGTACGCCGACTGCGGTGCTGGCAATCGATGTGATAATGGACGAGACAAGCCCGTATCGTCGCCGCGACGTACGGAGTTTGAAAAACGTGTTCCAGTCGAGCTGGACCTTATTGTTAGAGGACGCATTAGCACCGCGGCTCGTCGACGCAGCGGAAGCAGTCGAATTTGCACGAATTCCGGAGACGCTCTTCTGGACCGCAGAGACCAGGGTGGGAGCTTGCGCCGAGGGGGATTTCAGAAGCAGCGTTGGTCGCTGGCAGGAAAGCCGGGTGCAGCAGGACGCGGCAGGGTTCTGGCTCTTGGTAGCAATCGAGCTGGCAGATCGCTTCTGGAAAAATTTCGTTGCCACGGTCCTGGTTGTCTGCTGCTGCTGGTTGAATGGAGTCGAAGCTGTTCCCGCATACGTGAAGGGAGCAAGACCGGCGGAAGAAAATCTCGTGCCCAGCACGGCCGTCCGAATAGGAACGTTCACCACGGAGGCATGCATTTTGCGCAGGATCGGCTTGTCACAGTGTTGTCCTGCTGGGGCAATAAAACGTGGCTGGCGATCGGGGAAATGAAGATTTGCTTTTGACGGAGCTTGCTGCGGAGGAGAGATGTCATCGCCATCCGGACGGAGCTCGGTTGGTTGATTACGTAAACATCTAACCGCTGATACCAGGTCCTCGCAATGGTAAGAAAAATCGTGAATTCTTCGAATAGATCTGACTAGCGTATATATTTTCATAAATTCGATTTTTCTGGTTGTATTGTACTGAATATACGTTTGGATATCTAGCTTGACGCCTCTATACATGACTATAATACCCCCTCTATCCAACATAGCGGTCATGAGCTTTCGTGAATTCTGTGAAGTTTTTTGAAAATACCACCTCTATGAAGCAGATAGCACTGCAGGTTCATTGTAACATCTTGTCTTTCATCCTCGATCTGCTAACGAGGCTAGTGAAGGTCGTCCTTCTTGACATCGCCAGGACGGGCCTGAGGAGCGGCTTCCCGGCCAAACCCGTTTAGACGGCCATAAAGCCATTTCAGAGTAACCGTGTTCAGCGTCATGATCACAGCGCTCAGCGCAAAAAGACCAATGCGCCCGGGAGTCGGGAGCAGTTCGAAGATCGGATAGGGATACCTGAGCCTATCAGCAATGCCCCGCTAAGAAACGGATGCAAAATCTTACCATCCATTATGCTCGTAGCATTTTTCAATCCAGAACCAATAGCCAAAAGCGAAGACGGTGGACAGAGCCAGGGCGGGAAGAGCCGTGATCGTCCAAGGCGGAGAGAGAAAAAGCAAGTCCACCAACAGGACGATCGCAGGGATCGCATGGAAGTTAATGTCTACGAACAGTCAACCAGAGCCGAAGAAACAACAAGGTCGGACAACTCTCTTACCTGCATGGAGCGGAATCGTTTCCTCTTCCGGGACCACCAAGGACTCGTCGATCTACATCCATGCACGGTTAAAATTTGACGAGCTTGGAAACAATGGAATCAGGCCACGAACAAACTTCAGTCCCCAGTAAAGGATACTGATTAGCACCTCCAACGGAGCACTACACACCGACAGGAGGTTCTTAAACAGAAACAGCCGTCGGGAGAGGGTGAGATCGGCGAGAAGCGCAGCGGCAAATGTTACTGTTGCCAAGGACAGACCAATGATGGTCAGAAACTGAAAATGCCAGCCATATGCATCGGACCTACTCCAGTCAGCGCCAGTTTCTCGGGCACTTTCAGACGGAGCATCCTTACGCATAGTTTGGATTATCAATCAAGCTGCCAGGGGTGTTAGTCCCTGATCGGTGATTGGCCGGCAGAGGAAACCTACTATTTAAACGTCCAGAAGAAGCTGGACAATCCTGTCAACTGGCTTTGGCGTCAGCCATGGGTTCGGAGAGCTTAATTGTGCGGGAAGCTCACATGGACCAAGGCTGAGATCCCTCGAGAAGGACTGGGAAGCCTCTGAAGAGGGTGCTTCTCGATCAGATATTTGGTGGCCTGGGAAGATGCCATTTTAAGCGTCCAGTACTCTACAGACGACAAGGAATGAGAAGAAGGAGTTCCGGTGTCGTTGAGACACAAGAGCCTTAAATACGAAAAGAGAGATGACCTGTCCTCGCTCTATGTGTTCCTCGGAGCCCGGACCATACACAAGGCCAGCTGACCCTTGGATCGGGCTGCAGCTACCCGTGCCCCGCGTTTATGTCATCCACTTCCCAGTTTAGCGAGAAAACTATGTACTCAGTCTTATTGTTCTTGATTCTATATCTCTCTTTTGGATATACTGGTTTTATAATGCTATAGCTAGATTACATTATCTATATTCAAATACACGTATCTGGGAATCGTGGTCATGTCAATATTGACGCCATTCCGTCCCACTATCGTCGCATTTGGCAAGTGATCCATCAAACGGTCACAAGACTCACAAGTCAACTGCTATCGCCTTGAATGACCTGTTTCTAAGAAAGTAAAATTTAGTAGCCATTTTCTTTCTCCCCAACTGAGGCTGGATTCGAACTACGTGATATCATTGTGTACTTCATAATGAGGTGCTGATTCTTTTCCTAAGTAACTATCTAATCTAACTACTTGAGGCTGTAAAAATGGAACTTCCCAAAATCTTATCTCATAGCTTGAAACCGTAAAGTAGCCATATATTATTACCTTTTTGTGAGAAGATCACATTTGAGGTAGAGAAGCTGCGTCCGGAACAATATGAACCCGGCCCGAGCCTTATCTGGTTTGCCGTGTTTGTCGATGCGGAGTACGAAAGCTTATCGCCCGCTCGCAAGCCACATCTCCGCCCACACAGCTTGCGTTCAGGCAGCTGTCATTTGCTCGTATTTACTTTCGAGAGGTGATCAACCTGCTCAATTGGATCCTCTATCTCGGTCTGAGGTTTTGGCTGTTGCACTCAGACCTCTCATTGCCCTATACCTAGCTATACCTTGCTATCTGTTGCCCTCCGTGAAGCGCACGACTACCTCGATGAATAGGGAAAAAGATCCAACACTCTCAATGAAATCTATCATCTCAAAGGGCTCTGCAGAAAGAATCACCAGTCTGGAGCGTCTGACCAGGCCGGTTGAGCCTAGTTGAGCTGGATGGCTGCTATCCTCGGCGACTAATTGCGTTCACACCCCGCTATCCACATCTGTTGTCATCCACGCGACATGCCCAGACCAAAGAAGCCGGGTGCTCCAGAGCCGAAACGGAGGAGTCGGAAGGGATGCTGGTAGGTTGACCTGTTCGAAATCCGGATCACGATCCTGGAGATAGACACTGACATGCCTAGGCCATGCAAGGCGCGCAAGGTAAAATGGTGAGACAGGTAATCACATTCTGCGACTCAAGTATCAGACACTGAACATTCTACCTAGCGGCGAAGAAAAACCTAGCTGTTCGAATTGCCTGCGCCAGGGCGGAGTTTGTGATTACAGCATTCGACTTAACTGGGAAGGTAGAACGAAAAGGAAACCAACCGCAGAACCGGCAACGCCTTCGTCTGGTTCAGGCATGGTGATATTTTCGTCATCCTTTCAACGATCGCCAGGTCAAGGCGTAGATTCGACCGCTCCAGCTGACAGAGACTCTCTGCCAACGTTCCCGGTCCCGACATCGATCACATGGATTACAGAAAGCGTCCGACGAGTAGTCCAGAGCTCGCAGAACTCTCCCATCACGCCAGCATCCCTTTTTGGCAACTTTCCTGTCAGTCCTGGTAATGACAATGAGAGAAGTTACAGCTCTGTTTCTGTCCCAACGAATCAGTCCGAACAGACATTGTCTCCACCAGCGCTGTTGCAGGATGTGTCAACACAATATGAAATATCTCGACCACCGAAACCCCAGGTTTTATCCTACCCTACCCCCTCTGATATGAATCTGCTGGGTTCTGGAATTGGATCTCTATCCTCTTTGGCCTTCGATAGTCATTCCGTTTCTCAGCCTACCTCATTCCTCCGCCAGACGTTTCCAGCAGCGACAGAGGCATCAGCAAGGTCACCTATCGAGGATCCGGAGCAAACACATCCGGCCAAGAGGCTTAGAAGGTCATCTTATACTTTCTCTGCAGGAGTCGCTACTGTCGAGAATCCAATCTCGTCCCAGGCGGAGGGTTCGACTGCAGCTGAGGACAATCATCTGAACTCTGTGTCACAGAATCTGCGTCGCGTCCCGGTGAATTCGCTGTTGTCCCATTCCACAGAATTGGTACCCGCGGAGGCAAGACTGGGCTATGCTACACATGGCAGACAACAGGGGCACTTGGATAGTGAGACCGTCAATTTTGGACTTGACTGCGGTTATCCTGACTATGATCTCAACAAGATCGATGATTCTGGGGCCATCGAAAATATCACGTCGCTGGATGGGATCGCTCGCGATTCACGGTCCAGTCCCGCAAGCGAGGATGCGGCAACGGGATCACAGAGGCCAAGGAAAAAGACTGTCTTCACCACAGGGGGTTATTATGCAAGTCCCGTGGAGATAAACATTCCGAGATACTTAACACCTCTTCCTTCAACCCTGCGAGAGAATCCGATCAATCTGATGTATTTCCACCATTTCCTGAACCATACTGCCCGAATCCTGGTACCTCATGATTGCGAAGAGAACCCTTTCATCTCGGTCCTGCCTTCAAGTAAGTGATCCCCCTCGCTTTTTCCCCTCTTGATCTCAGACTAAAAAATACAGTGGCTATCACGGACCCCAACCTTCTGAACCTCATGTTGGCTTACTCCGCAAGTCATCGGGCACGCTTCCTCCGCCATCCGGAGCCGTCGAATCGAATCGCCCATTGGGTCAGAGACGTTTTCCCAACTTTGCGCCATGCACTTGACGACCCTCAAGAAAACGTTACGGATAGCCATCTTGCCACGGCCATCATGCTCTTGTCACTCAAGATCATATCACCCAGCACCTTTGAAGTGCCGATCACCTGGCAGGACCATCTGAACCTCGCTCGGGATCTTTTCCTCGCGCGCGAGATCCAATATTTGGCCCATCCGGGAAACAAAGTTGCCTTCTTTCTCGCTCGTTGGTTTGGATATCTTGACATTTTTGGCAGTCTGTCTTGTCGAGGTGGGCCTCCATTGTTTGAAGGCAGCTACTGGTCCCCCACTCCCTCAGGATGTGTACCTAGTGAGGATGATGATTATCGGGTCGACTGCGTCACCGGTTTCACGCCGCGCACCGGCGTCTATTTGGCACGTCTTGGGTGCTTGACCTGTCGCTGCGACAACGAGCGCTTTGACAAGGAGGGCAATTTTCTCCCAGACTGGACGCCATCGGAGGACGTTGTCCTGGCGGCCGAAGCTCTCCTGGATGACATGAGCCGGTCGCGGCAACGAGGGCATGCCAGTGGGACACACCACACGGAACAGGAGAATCAGGAGATGATAGCCATCGACATGGCATTCCATTGGTCCGCTGTGCTCCATGTTCACCGTCGCGTCCTTGGGAAACCAGCCTTTGCTCCCGAGGTGCGGGAAGCGGTTGACGAGCTGTGCAGAGCTCTGACACAGATCCGGCCAGGAAGCTCGACGGAGGTGTCAGTGCTTTTTCCACTCTTCACCGCCGGTTGCGAGATTCAGGATCCCCAACGACGGCTAGAGGTGCTAACACGAGTGATGAAGTTTGAGGCGGAGGGCCTCAAGCAGGCAAGTATCTGTTTTCGTTGCTCTGCGGGTTGGTACTAACAATGCTGTTTAGATCAAGAACGCTCGCAAATTGATGCAGCGATGCTGGGAAGAAGAGCTTCCGTGGATCGCCTTGGGCCAAGGCGAGTTTCTTGGGTAGATTCCAATCTTCAGGTGATATCTTCGATGGAGAAATTTATCATGATCTGAATGATTTTACGTGCATGTGTATATGTATCATGAATGTATTTTACTCGGAGATACCTTAGGACATGGACCGCAACATGTTACAATTATTTGATCCTTGAGCGCGCCTCTACTATATCCCATTGCGACCTTCCTCTTTAACTCTAAGCAGCATATAATCTGCTTGCAGCCATCGCATTTAAATGAGATTATCACCAGGCACCTTGTGCATAGACTGTAATCTGCTAGAACATTGACTACATCCTGTCAGTCCTTTCTTCTCATCAAGTGTTAGTCTGCATGTCGCGTCTGCTGGAGAATTCGAGCCCTGCGGCGAAGCGGGCCAGATCCGTGGGGCTGCGAGATCCACGAGGACAAAAAAATTCTGAAAGGCGGGGAAGCGCGATGACACAGGTAAAACGGTTTTCCAGAGCTATGACTCAGGGAGGGCAGATATAAAGATGAGCAACGGAAAAGAAAGAACCCGGTCAGGAACGGAGGTGGATTAGTTAGCCACTGAACAAGCAGCTCTGCTCTGAATCCAGAAAAAAAATTCTGCTTGATCACGACAGCGCGGCTCCTGCTTGCGCCTGCCCTGGAAGCCCAGTCACTGGCAGCAGCGCTCGGCGGTCCCCAGGGAAAGAGCGGGGCCCGGGCGGGCAGACTTGGCCACCCGCCCGCAACAAAGAAAAAGTCGAATGAAGGGCAGTCATTATTCACCCTGCAAGGAATTTTTTTTTTCCAGGGACAATTTTCATTCTCAGGCCATCACCTGTTCCAATCAGTCTGCGCCTGTAATTGTATCATATTCTGCATTGGCATTGCGTGTGACGCACGTGGCGTGGGCTTGTCGCATTTCACCACAGCTACCATGACCGGTCGCCAGGTTTCACACGGGCGCGGTGGTGCAGGTAAGGATGTGGCCTCGTTCCATCAGGACGGTTCTATTTTTTGCAATTGATTCGCGAAGAGGTTGCTGACAGAGCTGTCGCGCAGGGAACATATACTCCAGAGACAGCACGACCGACCCCAAGGACCTCGTCACACCTACCATCAAGCAGGACATCTTCACGACGGGCCGTGGGGGGTCAGGGAATATGATGCACAATGATCCAGAGCACCCAGAGCTGGCACGAGAAAGCCAGGACGTGGAGGAGCCGCCGGTGCGCTCCGAAGAAAACGTCCAGTTTGCGGGACGAGGTATGTGGCATATCCAGCGAGACAAGCAAAGAAGGGGGAAGATGAAGATTGACATGCAATGATTGTAGGCGGCGTTGCCAATGTGTTCATCCCTGCGGTCGAAGAAGAGCTGCTGCAAAGAGTGCACACCAACGCAGGCCAGGCAGGGCTGGAACGGACAAATTCGAAAGAGCGGCCCAAGGAGGTGCCTGGGAAGTGAGCACGGGGTGGTTCGATGATGACGAGAAGGATTTCCCTATCGAAATAATACCATGTTCTGGCGCACGGTGTGTGGGACGGTCGGTATACTACCTGGGTATTGGTTTTCTGTCAGCGGTTGAACGACATGTTATGATCTTGATATCCCTTTTCTTTTTTTTTCTTCTTCCGCATTGGGCTATCGGCATGATTACAGAGATTCTCCATGAGATTCTCCCTGTAGTTTTCTTTTCTCAGGGAGAATCGATTATAGTCCTTTGTAATAGAATAGAATAGGTATAGGTACCCTGTAATTGAGTTGACATTAAAAAAAATGTGTTAATAAATAGAACAGAGAAAAAGAGAATAGAGAAAGAAAATTGAGGGTGGTCACAATAACTAGTTATCACTAGATTTATTTTAACTGCAGCAGCACTATCTATCTAAATGTTATCACTATCATTAATTAATTATAAATCATCCCTTATCTCTGACGACTTGCAGGCTAGCAGGCATGACCAACAAAACACAAAACACCCCGCATCAAGAAGGTCGTTCTTTATTGGTGCGTAGCAGCCGGAAGTCAGGCAGTTAGACAGTTCATTATATAGTAGATTAATGATTAATAGGCATTACAATTATAAATCAATAAGCAAATAAATAAACAGTGCATGCATAAGAATGAGCAAATAAATGGATGAATGAATGAGGATGGCAGAGAAAAAGTGAGTAATTACATTAGCTGGAGTACAAACATGAGCAGCTAGCACATTAGCACATTTTGTGACAAGATTACTCTGTCCTTAGTAATTTTAATTTTTTTTAAAAAAAAGAAAGAAAAAAAAGAAACAAGAAATGTGACACTTCTTGGTCTTTGAACTGAGCTGGTATCTACATACAAAAAATTTATAATGTAGCAGGGTAAAGTAATAGTATAGTATCATGCATGGCCTTTGCACATCGTCCTCTATAAATAATACTTCCAAATGCCACCTTAATTAATTCCGGCTGATCAATAAATAAATAATAGAGGTTGACAGATTGTTTTCAACCGACTAGAGTATAGTATAATCATTTTAAGCTTGCATAGCTTTTGCACATTTATAGCATTTCTTCCCATATTACTATTTTTTTTTTGTTATTTAATATATAATCAATCACTAGCGTAGAGGGAGGGCTCTGTTCTCATTTTTTATTCCCTATTTGCACTATTTTAAACCCCCTTTTAGACTATCTGGTTCTCCTCATTCTTTTGTCTACCTATGGTTGCCGCGAGCAGAGCCATAAACTTGGCGAAGCCCGATGTCGTGAGACAACATGACCAGCCTGCCCATACCTGGACGTCATGGCTCCTCCATTCTCAGGCCACATGGATGGTCCATTGATGTGTGATGATCACGTGTATGAATCATCCATATATGTAGGTATATAGTCTGGAGCGCACCCTTGATCATAGCTCGGGCAAGTATCTCCCATTACTGAATGAATACGCCATGGCCTTGCCTTGCTACACCCGATCTCCTCCGGTAAATGAGTCGACGCCAGGGCTGTTCAATTCCAGATTCCATATGGGCTGGGGGGCTATTCAAATAGGGATAGTTCGTTGTCGTTCCCCTCCGGGAGCTCAATTTGATATGTTCTCCAGCGCCCCCTCCTGGCCTTGAGAGACATACCTACGGAACCTTTAAATAGATACTTTTTAAGTAGAATAAAAAGATATAAAGCTTAAGACTATTTTGGCGGTTGTTCCTATAGGGGTTTCGTATACTGTCCTAGTATTCTATATCTAGTTATTGAGATCATCCATGAATGCTCATCGCTAGTTCAGTTAGTGTAATCTAGCAAAAACGTCAAAAAATATTTCTTTTCTTTCCTGTTCTGTCTATTTAATATTCTTTATTCTTTCCCTTGCTGGGTCTGTAAAACCCACGACGCCGAATACAGCATCCACACTCCATCGTGCAATGTCCCGTCCTGTTATTCCTCGTCGTGTTCAACGGCCGTCGACAACAACCACAATCAAACTCACAGCACCCGCCATTCGCCTTGCACCGAAGTATTTTCTTCTCCGAATAATGAAAAACTCGTGATCGGACATATCCCAGTAGCGGATCCAGGGGCCCTTGGGCCTATACAGAAGGCCGTTGTAGAAAGCACGCTTGTGATGCCAGTACCGTTCATCGAAGGTCTTGAGTTCCTTTTGCCATTCCCTGGTCGATTCTTCCCGCTCCTCGGTCAGAGGTTGAAGAACCTGGGTCTCTTGGAGCTTTTCCAGAACAGCGAGCTCCTCTTTCAAGTATATCTCCCGTTGGAGGAGTGCGAAGCCGTTTCTCCGTTCTTCGTTCTGTTTCCGCAGCCATTTACGCTGGTCGTCCTTCCTTTTCTTGGAAACAAAATGGAACTCGAAATCTTGCAGCTTTGCCGCCCAGTCGTACCGATCGTGTTTCTGTAGCGCGCGTTCGATTCTTTCGAAGAATTTCATGCTGCACGCCTTCAAGGGGCTGCTTCTGAGTCTTCAAAGTTACGAGAATATGATCAAGGCGGATGGGATCGGATCTCTGATCTTGATAATAATCAATGTGCGTGGAACTCTCGAAGACTTGATTTTTTACGTAGCCACGTCAACCTTCATTTATACCATGATATATATAGAGAAGCTCACCATGACGAAAACAAATACGCGATGGATCGCAAGGTATATACTTTGCCTATTGAGCCAAGCTGCCTATCGTGAACTACGTCAGACGTCAGAACTAAAAGACATTCATTCAAATGTTAAAGTTGTCATTCATACTGACGAAATTTAATACTGATACTATATCCATGAAGCGGATCGCGTAGTTCCCAGGCAGGGCGATTATAGAGAAAGGCGAATTTCATCAATTATCCCGAGCACAAAAACCAAAATCGAGACCAAAAAAAAAATCGAATCAGAATCCAAGTCCTATATACCCGAGGATAAAAAAACATAGGTCTTGCCCGGATTCGAACCGGGGTCAATGGAATCAAAATCCACTGTCCTAACCCCTAGACTACAAGACCGCGAATTTTGGCACTAGACTACAAGAGCGTCTGTGCGCCGGGAGTGTTTGCCGGATTTCATAGATGAAATCTACCGATTGACAGACAAGTCCTGGGTGTACTGTACGTATCTGGACAGTTGCTTTTGTTTCGTTTTCTTTTTTGGCGTGGCGAGGCGTAAGGAACTGAACTGAACTGAACTGAACTGAGGACGATATTTATGAGATAGTGTATATAGGAATTTATTTGATTGATTTGGTTTTTATTTTATTTCATTTTATTTTATTTTATTTATTTTTTAATTAACTGGCTGAGGTGTTGGAAGACCTTAGGTACCTAGGTAGTTGATCACGCCATATCCACGTGTCCAAGGGAAGAAAGAAACCATGGAGCCAAATCACAACGACTACGGATATCCAGTACATGCTATGCTGTCTGTTTAGTACTCGTATATGATAAAAATTGCAAGAACCACTCAGTTTTCATCACTTATTCTACATATAACTTGCTTTAGGAGAGCTGTTTCTATTCTAATATTAATATTCTGACAATGCAATGCAGGCTCTGTCTTGACTACAGAACAGAGTAATATTCATACGACGAACGAGTTCAAAGCGGTTTGCACTTGGAGCTTCCTTTCTTGGACCGTTATTGTAAGCAATGTGGACTTAAAAAGAAAGGTCACGACAATCCAATATTTTAACTCGAATTAATGGAAATCGAATCTGCGATGAGAGAAAAAAAAGAACTGCATATTCCAAGAAAGAAGCATTAGCTGCATAGAACCACATACATGTACTCCGTACAGCAGTGGAACGATTCGAACTTAATCTGGCTTGTATGTGCTGTGCTGTACTCCGTACTGTACGTCAAATTAGTCCGAGGAGATACAATACCACACTAATGGATAACCCTGGTCTTTTACCTACGGACTACGGACTATTATTCTGTGGCTTGTCCTTGGCATTGTTATTCTGTCATACTACTCGGTATTAATATAGCTGCTGTCCAGGTTGGAAGTGATTGTCATTCACACCCATGCGCTGTAGGGAGTACTCTATAGCTTAGCTACAGGCAAGTGCGGAGTACATTGACCACATGACATATCACCTAGAGTACTTACTCCATACTCTGCAGAGTCTGCACTGCTCAGACCGAATTTCGTATTCCTTTTTTAGAACCCCAGATTCGATATCAACGTCATAACTGACTAGTAGACTAGTATATCTAGTATCTTCCATGGTGAAGAATTCGTTCGCTTCATGCCTGATCGACATGGCGTGTGGAGAGGTGGCAGCAGCCAGCTAAGTTAGAGTACTAACTAGTAACTACTACGTCGTTGACTCGTTACATTCTTAGCCCCATCTTCGGCGCGGTTCTCTCACACTTGCGTATGGAGTACAGTAGTACTTCGTACTCCGTACGGAGCTCATGCAAGCACGTCAATCCTGCGTGAATTAACTGCCTCTAGGAGATCATCACCGGATCGACAAGATTGAATGCTTGCTTGAATTACTTTACTTCGTCCGGAGGATTTCCTAGGTCGATCTGGAGCATGGAAAATCCTTGACCCGTAGCATACCCGTAGCATACCCGTGGCAGACCTTCTGGCTCGGTTCTGGCGGATCGACCTTCCTGTTGACTTACAGAGTAAAAGAATACTCCGTGAGGATCACGACGGTTGACGTGTTACGTAACCAGCCGGCTCACCGACACACCGCCGTGGGATCGACCAGCTATAAGACATCAGGCGTTGGTATCAACAACAACAACAACAACAACAACAACACGAAGACATCGTGTTGTATTTCTAAGCTGTCGATGTCATTGGGCTCCACAGCAGCACTGCGAACTCCCCGCCTGACTGCAGGCTGCTCTGGAGTACAGAAATGCAGTCTGCACCCGAGCTGCGAGCTGACGTACAGAATTAGGCTCTAGCCGCTCTTAGCCGCAGGATGGCGTTCCTTGGGGCACTCCGGACTCCGGGCTGTTCTGTTCGTACCCAACCGGCGGTTCTCGCTGACACTGACAGGCGGGTGACATGGCACCGCTCGCATGTCGTCCAGCAGCCAGCAGTCAGCTCCCCTTCCGGCGACAAGGACAAGGACAGGACAAGGACGGGGACGCAGCACCGGCGGGACAGTGCTATTAATAATATCCAGGACGAGGTGCAAGTGACGGGCCACCAAACCCAATTCCCCCAGCGACCTTGGAACCGGCCGATCATCCGTTTTCTTAACCTTTGGCAGAGCTAGGGACGGGCCTAGCGAGGCAGGGTCTGACGTTACTTGCGGGCTAAAGGGACTAGGTGCAGCAGTAGTGACACCGCTAAGGGCCTCCTCTCTGCCCAGGGAGGTTCTTGTTGTTCTTCTTAGCTCCGGACCGGGTGACAGACTCGAGGCGCTGGCCGGGAATTTCCCAGAGCATTTAGGCCCAGAATAGCTACAAAGCACGAGCCGGGAGAGGCAGAAGAGAGAAGAAGATTCGCGAGACGGGGCGGTGGATGCATCCGGCGATAACGATAAGCGGCAACCCCATCGGCCAGCTATCTCGGGACGCAAACGGCAAGAGGCAGATCACCGCCACCCACGCCGTGCTGGCTGGCTCTGAGGCCTGCTGGTCAGGCGCAATGGCATCACTTAATCGCCGACGGCAGCGCTATTGCCCAACAATCAGGACTACTGAGGGTGCAGTGCTGGCCAGGCGTCCGGAGAACTCCACAGGGTGCGCTCAGGCCCAGCAGCGAATGCTGTTTGCGGCCGGGCGGGTGGGCCAGCGCGTCGCCGAGGGAAA